GATCCCACTTGGTTGTTTCGTGAATGCACAAGGCGCGGAGTGTGGAAAATGGATAATTTATTGAAAAAAAACTATTTGCTGAAAATAATATGTACATAAAGTGTTGGTATCGTTCGGACAATGATCACTGTTCATTCAGTGAATGGTCATCATATTGTGAATATGGTCCTTCCAATATAGATTGATCGTGATACTGCGAAGTACTTGCCTCGCATTCAGCAATATTGGCGGGTTCCTAAAATAAAAGAAAACGCAATATTAGATACGTAAAGAAATCCTGTATAAAATACAGAAAAGGCACCTGAATTAATTTTATCCTACTAAATATTCATATTTAAACGGGGCATGCGGAAGTAGGCAGTGGTATATGTAACGTATAAGCCTACACTTATATGTGATTGTCTGGCTATCAGTCATAATTGATAACAATTAATTAAAAAGACCCTACTTAAAAAGTCGCCCTGATGCCGATCGCCGTGTATGTCTACCAAGTAAAATTTGACTGAATAGTAAGCAAATCAACTTAAAAGAGAAAATATGCAAGAACGATGATACTTACCGTGCCCTTAGAGTTCAGTTAGTCCAGGAAGCCTCCCTGGACAGCATCCTTCTGTTTCCCTCGCACCCCACCATAGCAGTCCCGAGACCCGTGGAACCATTCTATGACGGTGTTGCGGACAACCTTTTCATCATCATTCCGTTAGTGCGGATGTTGCCGGATGGCCTCTGAACGTCGTGACACAAATGTAAACCTACCACAGAATACATCGTATAATGGGCTTCCACTAAAGGACATTTTGTTTTTAGAAGCCCTGGAATAAGTTCATTGTAAAATTAGGGGTGGCCCTAAAATTCCCGAAAGAAGGCTTCTAATAACGTCCTTTTCATTGCGTCCGCCAATCTTTATTAAGCCATCGACCTGTAAATGAGCAGTAAGAAGTGTATTTGAACACAAGCATACCGTTTGCTGCAGTCTTTGTCTGACTTAAAGCGGTCAAGGAAATGACAGAGGCTCTCTTGTGAGCAGAGTGGCAAACGCCCCACTGCTGCCATCGAGCCTGTAGGTATTGAACGGTGGCTGTCAAAGACAGCAGCACCGACTTTCTCAACTTTGGCGAGAAGCACACTATGCTCCGAAGGAATGTGATCCACTCGCTTCACAAGCATATCAAGTTTTGTACTATGATAAACC